ACCACCTCTTGATGCCCTTCCCTTTATTTTGTACCTGTCTGCAGTACATAATGTTCACATTCTTTGTGTGGAGTTGCTACGTGTGCTAATGCATTTCAATTCCCTTTTCCATTCCTTAGCCCTTCCCTCCCTCTCCCACCTCTCCATCTCTCAAACCCCTTCTCCTCGGAGACGGATCTACCTTCCTACTTCCTGTTATCTATCTTTCATTTTGTTCTCTGTTTATACTTTGGGCTTCTCGTAAAAGAGAAACCATGCAATATTTAAGCCTGTGTGTCTGATTTCGCTGAACACTACGGTCTCGAGGTGCATCCATTTTCCTACACATGACTCCTTTATCTTTGTGGCAGAGTAGTGCGTCACTGTGCATAAATAAATTTTCTTTATCCATTCATGTTTGTCTTGTCACCAGTTCAGACTGGGAAGGTTCACTTGAGATTCAGGCAGCCCAAAGGAATGATGCAGAGCTGGGGACTGGATTAGGCATCTTTATTACTGGGTGCGGCTTGGCCACACAGTCATGTGGCGGGCAGGCCAGCTATATATAGGGGTCTGCAGGACAGTGGTTATGTGCCAGTAAGGACACTGTTTATGTAAGTTATTTATACCAGCCAGTAACGTTCTTGGTTGTACTGTATCAACTTTTTCCACCAACACTGGGAGATGCACCTGGCCTGTGCTGGAACCTGCTGACTCAGACTTTTCTCCCCCAGAAACTACAACCCCCAACCTGAACCATAGTGCAGCCATCTTGGGCTTCACTTTTCCTACACTGTTGATGAACATATGGGCTGCTTCCAAGATTCAGGTATTGGACAGGCATAATAGCACATGCCTGTAATCCTAGAACTTGGGAGGCTGGAAGACAGGAGGATTGCCATGAGCTCGAGGCCAACCTGGACTACATAATGAGTCCAAAGCTAGCCTGAACCACAAAGTGAGACCCTATCTCAAAACAAAAAAAGATTGAGCTACTATGAATTGTGCTGTTATAAACATGCACATGCATGTATCACTGTGATATGATGGCTTCAGCTATTCTGGGAAGATACGTAGAAGGGCAATAGCTAGGTCAAATGGAATTTCTGGCTTTAGTTTTTTGTTTTTTTTTAACTTTGTTTTTTGTTGTTGTTTTGGTACCAGGGTTCAAACTCAGGACCTTGCACTTGCGAGGCAGGCAGCAGAACCACTGAGCTAAATCCCCGGCCCCCACTAACTTTAGTTTTTTGAGGAATCTCTATCTTACATACATACATACATATATATATATTTTTTTATATTTATTTTTATTTGGGTTTTTCTTTCTTTTTTTTCTTTTTTTTTTTTTTTGGTACCAGGGATTGAACTCGGGTCCTTGCACTTGCAAGGCAGGCCACTGAACCACTGAGCTAAATCCCCGGCATACTATATTTTTAAATGATTGAAAAAAATAACATTCTATGATTCTTGAAAAGTGTGCGAAATTTATATTTCAATGTCCATAAGTAAAATTTATAAGATAGCCATACCATTTGTTTACATAATTTCATTTGAACTACAACAGCAGGCTCCAGCAGTTGCCATGGAGACATCATGGCCCACAGAAACCTAAAGCTCTTTAACTGGCATATGACAGAAAAAAGTTTGCTGACCTCTGACTCAATGGGCTATTCAGAGACTTTATTTACTACTACTACTACTACTACTACTACTACTACTACTACTACTACTACTACTACTTATTATTATTATTATTTTGAGGCAGGATCTTTCTTTGTAGTTCAGGCTGGTCCTGAACTATGTAGCCCAGGCTGGCATTGAACTCTAAGTGATCCTCCTGTCTCAGCCTCCCAAGTGCTGGGGTTACAGGTGTGCATCACCACACCTGGCTATTATTACTTTTTAAACAGGGTCTCCTTATGTATTACCAGCTGGCCTTGAACTTAGTGATCCTGCATCACCACACCTGGCTATTATTACTTTTTAAACAGGGTCTCCTTATGTATTTCCAGCTGGCCTTGAATTTAGTGATCCTTCTGCCTCAGGATTATAGGTGTATACCACTACAACTAGCCAGTGACTGATTTTTAAAAATACAAGGCTTGCCGGGCATGGTGGCACACGCCTGTAATCCCAGCACTCCGGAGGCTGAGGCAGGAGGATCCTGTGAGTTTGAGAGACCAGCCTGGGCTACATAGTGAGTTCTAGGTCATTCTCAACTACTTAGTGAGACCCTGTCTCAAAAATAACAACAACAACAACAACAAAAATACAAGGCTTGGGTTATAGCTCAGTGGCAGAGAAGAGAGCTTGACTAACATGCACAAGGCCATGGGTTCAATCCCCAGCACCACAAAAACAAAACAAAACATGTTTTTTTGTTGTTGTTGTTTGTTGTTTTGAGACAGGGTCTCACTACATGGTTGAGACTGACTTGGAACTATGTAGCCCAGGCTGGTCTCGAACTTACAGCAATCCTGCCTCAGCCTCCCAAGTGTTGAGATTACAGGCATGTGCCACCACATCCAGCAAAACATGGTCTTTAATCTCAGCATTTGGGAGGATGGAAAATTCAAGGTCATCCTGGGCTACATAGCAAGATTCTGGCTCAATAAGGAAAAGAAAGAGAGAGAAAGAAATGGCTTAGGTATATTCTAGCACTGACAAAAAACAGTTTTAGATTAGCTATACTCCAAGTGCACCTCCCCAGTGTTGGTGTAAACTCTTGTAAGTAGCTGAAGCATTTTAAGAAAAATTACCCAAGGTGGCATGTGCCTGTATCCCAGCACTTACGAGGCTGAGGCAAGAGGATCGCCATGAGTTCAAGTCCAGCCTAGGCTATATAGTGAGTTCATGACTAGTCTGAACTACATAGCAAGACCCTGTCTCAAAAAGGCCACACACTGCATTAGGATTTTGAATTGGATAAATTGGGGTTTGTATCAAAGGTTTTTTCCAGTCTTTTCATAATCCTCAAGAACAGAAAATGGATATTGGACAAAAATGAGACTTCCATTGTGAGAACAATTTATATTCAAATTGACTTCTAGAACAAGTAAATTCTGATTATGAACTCAGGACCTTGTGCTTGCAAGGCAGGTGTAGTACCACTGAGCTAAATCCCTGAGTAGTGCTTTCAATGTCATACTGGGATGCTGTCTCACAAGTCCAACCAAGGATTAATTAGCCAAGGGATATAGAGTTGTTTGATATGGGTATTTTCTATTAATGGTTCAAATTCTGAAATTACAAGTAGATATTGTTCAGCAGAAGTAAAAAACCATTTATATCCAGTAAAAAAGGTAACATTAAAGGTTACAATTTTTATTGTACTGCAGGAAATTAACTATTTTTTTTCCCTGGGGCCAGGTATTGAACTCAGGACTTTGTGCTTGTAAGGCAGGCACTGTGTCCTGGTGTTTTTTCTTTTTGGGGTACTAGAGATCAAACTCAGGACCTTGTACTTGCAAGTCAGGTGGCAGAACCACTGAGCTAAATCCCCAGCCCTTGTTTTGTTTTTGAAATAAGGTTTCACTATATATACCAGGCTGGCCTCAGATACTTAGCAATCCTCCTGCCTCAGCCTTCCCAGTGCTAACATTACAGCTGCATCCATCACTGGGCAAATCAACTACATAATTTTGTATCTAAGCCAGTAATCAAGGGCTAATATTCCTTTTTGAATGCCTATGCACATCTATGTTCTCAAGGTGCTTTATTACTTTACTGAGGGGGCAACTCTTCCTAGCAAGTTAATAAATCTTAATCTTTGTTCTGTTTAGACATTTCTTTTTGTAGCACTGGGGGATCCAACATCCCCAGTCCATATTTTTTATTTTGAAATAAGTTTTCACTAAATTGCAAAATTGCCCAAGTTGGGCTTGAATTTGTGATCTCCTTGGCTCAGCCTCCTAAATGCTGGGATTATAGGCATGTGCTGCCATTCCTGGCTACAAATCTTTTACTTATAAGAACATATTTATGTATTGCTTGGCTTATTTTTGTAATGGCGTTGAGCTGTAACTTGTGTGTGTGGTAATGAGGCTTGAACCCAGGACCTTCACAATGAATTATATCCTCACTTTTTAAAAATTTTAACACAGGGACTTGCTAAATCCCTAAATTGCCCAGGTTGGACTGCAACTTGCAATCCTCTTGCCTTAGCTTCCCAGAGTGCTGAGATCACAGGCGTGTGCCCCAATACCTGGCTAAGAATTTCAATGTATTGGGCCAGGCACGGTGGCAGATGCTTGTAATCCCAGCATTTGGGAGGCTAAGGCAGGAGAACCGCTGTGAGTTTGAGGGTAGCCTGGGCCAGTTTGGGAAACTGCAGCCCTGTCTTTTCTATCAAAAGATATAAACAGAAGTGCCTCCATCTCAAACTTTATTTCACCCCAAGCTGCCTTCCTCTACCCCTTGCACTAGGGTTGCAGTTGTCAGTTACAAGGCACTTCTGCTGTTTGTACTCCAGGTATACCCTGTGCCAATGACTTTCAGTCCCCTGTGCCCCTAAACCCCCAATGATTTTCAGTCCCCTGTGCCCCTAAACCCCCTTAACACCCTGCCCAGCAACCCTTCAGGCCCCACCCCCTCAGGCCACCTAGGCAATGGGGATAGATTGTGACCTTTCAAGCCACCCAGTAAGGAGGTCAGCTATCAGCCATGAGTTAGGATTACCAGGAGCCTTCTGCTGCAGCTAGTGTGCCTGCTACTTCATCACTGGGCTGTGTGCACACCCTTCTGCAGAAGTAAACTTGCCTTGTCAAGATTTCTACATGTCTAAATCCATTATTTCTGCACCAACAAATGGACTCTGGGGCTTACTGCCAACAATAGTTGAGTACAAGGCCAGCCTGAACTACACAGTGAGATCCTGCCTCAAAGAATTTCAATCTATAACAGCTTACTTGGATTCAGATGAAAATTTACACAAATTATGTGAATGATAGGACCACAGCTGGGTTCTGGTTCAACCCCTTTAATAGTAGCTTTTCCTTACTATAATGAAATACCTGAAGCAGGCCACTTTATTTTTTTAAAAGAAGTGGTTTTTTTGTTGTTGCTTTAGATGGTAGAAATCTCAGGTTCTGGCAAGGGCCTTCCGTGACATGTGTATCTTCCTTGTGTGGTCTCATTTTCACAAACCTACCAGGACTCTGTCAAAGGACCTCTACCCTAATTACCTAATTACCTAATTACTTCTCAAGCCTCACCTCTAAATTACACAGCCAGATAAAATTCCACTCCCTTAATATCATTAACATAGTTGGGGATTTAACTACCACACAGGTTTAGGGGACAAATCAGTATTCAAACCATAGTGGGCTGGGGTGTAGCTCAGCAGTAGAGGACGGAGCATGCTCGAGGCCCTGGGCACTATCCCTAGCACCACAAAAACAAAACAAAACAAAACAACACAGCAATGTGGCAGGTACGAGGTCCAAGGAACTATGGAGACCAGTGGCGAACTGAGGCAGCAAGCAAAGATGGCGGGCACAGGATCTAATCCACTGCTTGGAGGAGTGAGTCTCGAACCTAACTCCAGTGCCAGGCATTGAGTCCTTCCCTTCCTCCTACTTCAATCCTTCAGAGTTTGCCTGTCCCTCCACACCATTACTGACTTTTTCTGGCTAATTTTGTTGACAGCATTTACAATCTCAACTCTTAAAGAGTATGAACAGGGGCCAGGGATTTAACTCAGTGGTTCCGGCAGACCAAAGGTTCAATACCTGCTAACAAAAAAAAAAGTATGAGTGGTATGAGAGTTTAATTTCAGAATAGACTCAGTATGGCTCACTGACCATGAAAGCTTGAATAAAACAATCCCCTTCTGCCTCAGACTCAGACTCAAAACAGGACTGAAGCCACAAGCCTTCTCAGGGGCCTCCTGCAGAGAGGAAGGTGAGGGGTGTGAATTGTCCACACATCTGAAGGTGGAGAGGGGAAAGCTGGTAAGCACTGGTCCTGGAAACGCCAGTTGTTCTCTGGGCTGCACCTGGGGAGGGCACAGGAAAGGCCCCAGGGTGACCACAGAGCATGTATTTGTCCTTTACCTTAGTAAAGGACCCAACTTGAAACCTGGGGTCCAGCCCAGGCCTCCCCTCACCTGCCCATGTGAGTGTACGTCTCGTCAACTCCAGACTTGCTGCAGGCCTAGATATGCCCCTTAACTCTTCTGAGTCAGTGAATGTGCCCACGCTATCTGTGTGGGACTGTGGGATGTGTAATGACACCGTCCATTCACCAACACCCACAGCCCCACCACTCTGCATCCTGTCTAGGCCCCCACAATTCCCAGCACCCCCAATCACCCATCAAAACACTGTCTTTGCTGGAATCAGCCTGGGTTCTAGAACCTCACCCCTCCAGTGTCCTCTTGGCTCTGGAATCCCACAGTTGTTTGAGACGGGGCATCGTGGAACCAGGGGGTTCTGTTGGTGTCCTGGCCAGTGTCCTGCTTGACGAGAGGCCCCTCTGCGTTCAGGATGCGGTGGCGGGACCGTGTGGCTGTGCTCTTCTTCCCCCAAGGCATGATGCTCACCGTGGCTGCACTTCTGCTCTTCTTCATCCATCTGGGCATCTTTGCCAGCGACCTGTACCACTTCTACATCACCCACCACTACGACCGCATGAGCTTCTACTACACGCCTATCCTAATGGTGGGGGCTCCTGAGGGGCTGGAGAAAGCCTGGCTGGTGGGTGGGTAGGGAGCTGCCGTCCCACTGATGGGCCTACAGTTCTCCCAGGTGATGAGCGTCTGCTGGGCTGCCATGGGATCTGTCTATGCTGAGATGGCAGATGATAAATATTTCCAGTGCTTTGCCCTAACCATCTTGAGTGAGTAGGGAGAGGCATGGCCAGAGGGCAGGGAGGGGGGAGCTTAGCACTCAGATGTGGAAAGAGGGGCAGGGTGTGGGGCTGATAGCTCTCTCCTCTGACAGTACTCAATGGAGCCATGTTCTTCAACCGCTTGTCTCTGGAGTTTCTGACCATTGAGCACCGGCAGGAAAGTCACTGAGGCCTAGGGACGGGGCCAAGGCTGAGAAGGGATAAGGAAAAGGCTGCTTGGGTGTTTTAATAAAGTCTGTTGTTTATTTGTCCCTGTCAGCTCCTTCAAGGGATTGGGGTGGGAGGCAGGAGATTCAAGGAGAAGCAAATTAAGACAAATGCTTAGCCTGTAGGACTCCAGGGCCAGGCTGCAGCTGCCCTGGTGGCCTCCGCTTTGGGCCTGGGATCTTAGTGTCTTAGGCTTAAGGGAGAGAAGTGGAGAAGTGGAGAAGAGCCTCTAGGCCTCCTCCCCTTCTCTCCTTGGGTCCTGCGCCGGCCCAGCCACAAACCAGGGCTCATGAGGGGCCCACACGGATGTGAGGGTTCATGAGTGGGTCCAGATTGGGATCACTGTCAGCTGCAGCCCGGCCCAGACGAGACATGAGAGCTAGGAGGGCCAGGAAACCCAGCAGCCCCAAGAGCAGCAGCAACCCTGCCCGCTGTAGTAGGGTCAGTGGCCGCTTCCGAGACCCGGCTCGACTCCTGGAGGAAGAAAGGGAATGTCAGGTCAGGCCCTGAGCCCAAGGCATGAAGAGAAGCCCTAGTCACCATGGTTGTGCCTCAGTTTCCTCATCTGTGCCATAGAGATGATCACTCTACCACAGAGCTTGACTCCACCACAAGCTTGACTGGCTCTTGCTCAACTCTCCAAGACTGGCAGGGCAGGAAGTACGATCTTTACAGAGGGTTATCGTGCAGCTCAAAGCAGTTGAGGTGTGTGACTGTGTTCTGAAAACTGTAACATGTCAGGCATGGTGGACAAAAAACAGGAAGAGGCCTCAGAGAGCCTGAGTCCAAAGGTCCCGTGGGATACAAGGACATAGCCCTAGAAGCGGGGATAGGGCAAGGTTTCTACTGCCCAGCAGAGGCCACTCCCCTTGTTCTAGATTCCCTTAGGTATAAGTCACTTTGGCTGTCAAATCGTCCATCCGAGGGTCCTCTCCTCCCCTTCCTGCTTCTGCCTCCACCTGACCCCATGTACCTGAGCAGCTGGGCCAGCCAGCCCAGGGCAGGCCGGCGGCGGTACTTGTCATCGTCGTAATCCCCATGGAGGCCTGGTGCCTGGCCATCATCCCGTGTGTCATACACCTTCCTCGGGGCTGCGGGGGTGGAGCCAAGAGCATCAATAGGCTCAAGGAACCTGCTCTGGTGTGTCAGAGGCAAGGGTTTCTCCTGTCTTCCCCAGACTGTCACAGCATTTTGGAATTGTGGGGAGTGAGGAAAGGTCACTACCAGTTGGGCTCTAGATCCCGGCTTCCCCTTTTGGTCCTTCTGGAGTCCAAATAATTCCAGGGCTCACCATGAGTCGAGGTCTCAGAGCTGCCCATGTGGATGATTGTGTGCTGGTCAGGTGGGCTGGGAGATGAAGGGGGCCGGGGGGCCTGGCTATAGAAAACCGTGGGAGCAGAAGCACTTTCTGTCTTCTCCTGTTCAGGGGAGTCAGTAGCTGTGGGCAGAGAAGAGCTGTCAGTAGGGCAGGGAGGGAAGGGGCCAGATAGCAGGTAGAGGCCAAACTTACCATTAAAGTTGGACCAGTCAGAAAAGCTGGAGGAATTGAGGGGCTCAGGTTCTGGGCTCATCATCTCATCGATCTGGAAGGAGGAGTCTGGGTTACCAGCCTGCTGTGCCACTCACCTGGCTTAGGTGAGGCCCAGGGCAGGCAGGCAGGCAGGCAGGCAGAGGGACTCTCACCAGAGGGAGCCCCAGTCCTGCTCGGGCCCAGTTGACGGTGGCCAGCTTCTCTCTCAGTGCAGAGGCCACAGGGCCAGCCAGGTTGGTTGGAGGGAATATGGGACCGTTGCAGCTGGGGCACTGATAGCCAGCAGGCGCAGTGTTTCGGGGGAGCTGGGCAGCACGTTCATTGAGGCAGGCCCAATGGAAGAGATCTTAGGGCCCATGAAATAGGAACAGGGAAGGAAAGACATGAGGAAGAAGTTTTTGAGCTCCTATCCCAGCAATGGGCCCCAGCCTACTGTAGGGATGAAAGGGCACATACATAGATAACCAGAGCGTCGCCTTCTCATCCCAGGTGCATTTCATCAACATTCCGAGATTTCAGGCTTCTTGGATACCACCATCCAACTAACTCAAACCAGATGTTACCAAGTTGTCAGCCCATAAAGGGGTGGATGGGAACAAAATGCCACCTACCCTTTCAGGGAATCTTCTCTGGGACTGCACTCATCACAATCCTTGAGCTGATGGCTAATCAAGTATAGTTTCATGGGCTGGGGATTTAACTCAGTGGTTTTGCCACCTGCCTCACAAGCACAAGGACCCAGCAAAGGTTCCTAGATATACATATAGGCACATATCTGCATACATCCATAGGCACAAATGTATATGTGCTTATAAGCACACAATCAAACACGAGTGCCACTCTCTGTGTCTACATTAACTTTTACACAAACACATCTAAAACTAACATGTTTATAGCACTCAAGCACCCTCACCCACCCATGTGTTCTCCTTGTATGTCTAAAACATACCTGTGTTCACATATGTATTTTCGCGCCCACAATAAACAATGGTGCATTGAATTCATGCAAGTATACACACACTGTCTCCTGGACGAATGAACACATGGAGCTGCCTATTTTCACCACCTCCTTCAGAAACTGAAGCTGAAACTCTTACACACTGGATTCAGGTCACTGTCATGACACTGTAACTTCTGACTCTCCATACCCAGTTTCAACGTGGGAAACACTTCCTCTGTTTCACCTTGCAGTCAGTAATGGATCCCGAATATCTGACAGCACCACGCTGGTGCAGCTACCTACTGCCCACAGCCACAACCACAGCTACAACCATCCTCACAAGTTTGACTGGCTCTTGCTCAACTCTCCAAGACTGGTAGGGCAGGAAGTAGGATCTTTACCTTTTAGGAGATAATGAGGCCTAGAAAAGGAAAACGACTTGCCTGAGTTTACATATTGGCGAAGTAACCTAACAGAACTAGAACCTGCAACACTGGCCTCTCTGGTTTGCGGAATTCACTGTCCTACTGCTTCAGGAGGGACTGGAAACCAATCACCAGGCTGGGCCCTGGGGCTGCCCTGATCCCTCCAGGGTGCCCAGGCCTCACCATAGCAGACAAGGCGAGTTGTCTCCTGGCTGGCCAAGGATGTGTTGCACAGGCGGCAGTTGGGGTTGTAGTCACTGTCTTGGAGCCACTGCAGGTAGGACTGTATGATGCACTGAAGTGGGAGAGAGAAGTCACAACCAACTCACCAGCTACCACCCCAAGGTTCCACTGTCTCTTTTCTCTCATCACAGAGGAAACTTGTTTTTGTTTGTTTGTTTGTTTAATCAATAAATTCTTATTGCTGGGTGTGGTGGTGCACGCTTGTAATCCCAGCACTTGGGAGGCTGAGGCAGGAGGATCCCTGTGAATTCAAGACCAGCCTGGGCTACATAGTGAGTTCCCGGTCAGTCTCAATTACATAGTGAGACCGTGTCTCAAAACAAAAAACAAAACGAAACAATTCTTATTGAACACTTATTGAGGGTTAGACTCTATTTTAGGGGCTGGAAATGCAGCAGTGAGCAAAAGAACCAAGCCCTTGCCCTTGTGGAGCTAACATTCTAGCGTGGGGTCCCTCAGGGATTTGGCAGTGCCAAAACTGTCTGTCTACCAAATACCCTGCTCAGCCGCCGACCTGAATGTCCCACCTTGGCGTGATTGGCTACCAGGCAGTGCTCGCAGACATTGACTCGGTGTTCGAAGCAAAACAGGTTGGTCACCTTCCTCTTGGGGCACTTGCAAAGTCCCATGACAAACCCTGGCGAAAGGAATGGAGTCGATAGGAAGCCAGGTTCCGGTGGACATCACTTCTCATCAGCCCAGTTCATCTCCACTCCTAACTCCTCCAGACACAATTCTTGTGCGCCCCAACCCCAAATTCTTGCCCACTTCCCCAGTTTCGGTCGGGCCACGCCCCCTACATAAATCCCGCCTCTGAAGACCCCTTTCTACTCCTGAATCCCAGCCCCTCTCTACCAGCAACTACCAGGATACCACCGACCCCGCCCCCAGAACCCGTCCTCAGCCCCACCCCTTCCTGGCCCCGCCTCCTTCCGTACAGATTCCTACTATCGGTGTTACTGATCGGCCCGGGCGCCGGTCCCGACCAGCGCAAGCAGTGATTCGAGGCGCAGGGCAGGTATTGCGCTCACCCGCTGTAGTTATGCCTGCTTCAGCCCAAGCCGCCCCGATTATCCTCCGGTGCCACGTCTCTTCCGGGTGCGGCGCGCGCTGATGACGCCACCGCGCCCCCGGCCACGCCCCTGCTTCAAATCCGTAGATTTGAAGGCGGGTGAAGAGCCGGGGATTCCGGGAGTAGCGGTTCTCCCTCTTTGCGTCACTTCCGCTTCCTCCTTGGCAGGGCGGGTAATTCGAAAATCTTCAGAGTTCCCGGTGGTCCTTGCTGTTGGCGCGGGCCCGCTGCTGTGGCGGTGGAGGCGGTTGAGACCGAAACTAAATATGTCTAGGAGGCGAACCCAGTCCGGGGGGGCCGCTCGGCGCTCTGGTAAGCGGAGAGCTCGCGGGACGGATGGGCCCGAGCCGTTTGGGGAACGCAAGCCCATCCCGTACCAAGAGTCTCGTCTTTCCTAAGGCATCCCTAAAGGGCTTGAGAATCTTCTCTGGCTCTCTCTAGGGCCTGTCTCTAGTAGGATCGAGAGTCTTTCTGAACCTTGGAACTTTTTTCTCCATCCAGAACCCAGGGCCCCATCTCCTAAGTCCCTGCGGAGGTCCCTGCGAAAATCAGGCTCTGATTTCCCGAGCGTTCTTCCTGAAATCTGCCAGAAGGTGAGTCCAGAGTTTCTTAGTTATTACCGTACAGGCCCCTGAACGAATGTGGAGTTCATCCTGGTCACCTGTGCTTTTCAGGCGTCCCCTGCGGCTCCAGTCAGAAAACCCATTGTCTTGAAGAAGATTGTGGCTCAGGCTGTAGAGGTGAGGGCTAAGAGAGGGGATTTTGGGTGGGAGGTCAAGAGTAGGGGCTGGCTATTTGATCAGTTGGTTTTGTCCCCACAGGTCCCAGCTGCCCACTCTCCTCGCAGGAGCCCTAGGGTGAGTTCATTTCCATTTGTTTAATTGGGTGGAATGCAGGTCACTGTAGACCTGGGAGAAGATATACTGGCTGCTCACATCTACCCAAGGAGCTCTGTTCCCGTATTTGAAAACAGTATGCCTTTGGACCCCCTCATGACTGGCAGTCTTTGGGGGAGGGGTTGAGACAGAGTCGGGCTTTGTAATTCAGGCTGGCTTTGAATTTACTATATATCCCAGGCTGGCCTCAAACTCTGTGATCCTCCTGCCTCAGCCTGCCAAGTGCTGGGATTACAGGCATGAGCCACCATGCCCAGCAATGCTGTCTTGGTCACTCCTTGAAAACTGAATTTATTTTTAGCTCTTCTTTCTTTTAATTTTTCTTAAATTTTTCATTTTTAACTCTTCATACTCTGTACCCTTTATGTTTCTACTATTTTCCTTAAAAAGCTGAGCTATATCCTAATTACCTGTCCCTTTTCCAAGCTATTTTGCCTTCAGTGTTTGTGTGTTGTGTTTTTTTAAGGTACTGAAGATTTTACCAGGACTTTCTCATTGAGCTACATCTTTAGCAATTTTTTTTTTTTTTTTTTTTTTTTTTTTT